TTGTGGGTGCAGATAGTCTTATAGGTTACCAATTTTCGAGAGAAAAAAAATTAGAGAGAATTTCATCTCCTGTGACAATCACTAGATTATATTAAGATAATCATTACAAAGTTATTTCAATAGAATTTTTTTTAATATGGGCTGTCTCCCCAAATAAGTTTATTTAGTTTTTTAGATTATCATTACAAAGTTATTTAGTTTTTACTCCAATACAGAAATATAATTAAAGTTCGAACCACGTATCGTTGTTATAGACATTTTAACAAAAGGTAAATTGTAAGCTTACAATGACTAAAACTTTTTCCTTGGTAGATAATTTTCATCATGAGAAAACTAGAACTAAGATTGTGTGCTTACAAAGTCATCATGAATGTCGTTGTTTGAGTCATAATGTGAATTAAACCAAAACGACCAACATGAAAAGTACAGTCTGATTTTGTTTTCTCTAATTTATTTTCTTCCAACCATGAAAAAGAAAAAGCACAGGTAATGTATGTATCATGAATGGTGGTGGTACGATACAAATGAAAACACCCTCACATCTTGAGAACTTGCTCTACCCTTTCAAGTTTCGCTTTGCCAATTTCTTACTTTTCGTTTTTTCCTTTTTGTATTCAAATCTAATTTTGTTTTCAGATACTTTTGCCACGGATATAAATGGACCTTGGTGAAATCGGGCCCATTATCCGGTAATTTGTTTTGAAATTGTTGCAGTTTTTAAGAAAGAAGAATAAAACAATTTAAAAATCAAGAAAGAAAGGGGATTTGATTGATGAACAAAAAGAAGCTTCGCTTTCTGTTGCTGGTGGGGGAAGCTGCTTCGATAATACGACAAAGCGAAACTTGAAAACCCCACAGAGATCTGAGCACGATTTCGCTGTGAAAATCTCTCTCGACATTCCGGATTCTGATTCAGAAGCCGACATTGCTTCTCGTTCTCCCGTAAGCAGATTTGGTTTTTGCTTTTGTGATTGTTGGAGTTGATTCAGTAAGTTGTTTGATTTCCGAGTAGCATTTCTTCTATGAGCAACTTCTGGGAAAGTCTTGAATTTATGGTCTCTCGTTGCCGACTAGTCTCTCAGATTTTTGTTTCAATTTTCCCAGAAAGCAGAAGGTGTCTGACTGACTGGGAAATCTGATTTTGTGTCTTCTCGAACTTTCTCGGAGATTATTAGTATTGGCCTCCTAATTTTCCTGGTGGATCGGATCCTGTGAATACTTAGTATAAGGCTGATAGAGATTCGTAAACCACATTGTTCTGAATATGTTGAACGATATTGAAATTGAATCTAATTTCATCTTGATTCCTTGGTTGGTCCTGCAAATTTCTATTCCTTGTACATGATCAAAAACCATATTTCTTCGTGTTTCAGGGCTTGGGATTATATCCACATTGGTTGAAGTTTTTTTAAACATTAGGAACATTCTACATCCTCTTGCATTCTCTTTACTTTCTAATGATCTCGCCGCCAGATTTCTCGCTTCAGTCCAAGCTTGGATGTAGTTGACTACTGCTACTTGATTTGGCTGAAAATGAGGAGATTTTATGGAGGGCTACTTGTTGCATCAATGTTTATGTTCTTGACAGTGTACAGATACGTCGACTTGAAACCTCCTGTTGAAAAGACTTACATCACTGCTTCTCCTGTCACTCCTAACGCCACTCTTCCTCTCGAATGGCTGCGGATTACCATCCCTGACTTCATGAAAGAAGCCAGGAACACTCAAGAGGCGATATCCGGTGATGATATCGCTATTGTCTCGGGTCTATTTGTTGAGCGGAACGTCTCCAAAGAAGAGAGAGAGCCTTTGCTTACCTGGAACCGACTAGGAAGCCTGGTTGATAATGCACAGAGCTTAGCAAATGGAGTGGATGCTATTAAGGAAGCTGGCATTGTTTGGGAGAGCCTTTTGTCAGCGGTTGAAGCTAAGAAACTAGTTGATGTTAACGAAAATCAAACGAGGAAAGGAAAAGAGGAGCTGTGTCCTCAGTTCCTTAGCAAAATGAATGCTACTGAAGCTGATGGAAGTAGTCTAAAGTTGAAAATCCCTTGCGGTCTGACTCAGGGTTCCTCCATCACGGTTATTGGCATTCCGGATGGTCTTGTTGGTGACTTCCGGATTGATCTAACAGGACAACCGCTTCCAGGGGAGCCTGATCCGCCCATTATTGTACATTACAATGTCAGGCTTCTTGGTGACAAGTCAACTGAGGATCCTGTCATTGTTCAAAACAGCTGGACGGCGTCACGTGATTGGGGCGCTGAGGAACGCTGTCCAAACCTTGATCCTGATATGAATAAGAAAGTGGATGACTTGGATCAATGCGACAAGGTGGTGGGTAGAGAAGTAAACCGAACTTCTTCCACTAGCTTGCAATCCAACACTTCAAGGGGGGTTCCAGTAACCAGGGAAGCATCTAAACATGAAAGATACTTTCCTTTTAAGCAGGGTTTCTTATCGGTCGCCACACTCAGGGTGGGAACTGAAGGAATTCAGATGACAGTTGATGGGAAACATATAACCTCATTTGCTTTCCGCGATGTAATATCATCACTCTTCTTATATGTTTCATTGCTCATAAGCAATTTCTCAATCAAATGTTTAGATTCTTATGTGTTCTTCATTTCATTTTTTTTTTCAGACACTGGAGCCATGGCTTGTTAGTGAAGTACGGATTACAGGTGACTTGAAGTTAATATCCATTATTGCCAGCGGTTTACCCACATCAGAAGAATCAGAGCAAGTTGTTGATCTAGAGGCACTGAAAGCACCTCCACTTTCACCATTAAGGCCACTAGATCTTGTTATTGGCGTTTTCTCCACGGCAAACAATTTTAAAAGACGGATGGCTGTGAGAAGAACATGGATGCAATATGATGATGTAAGATCTGGAAGAGTTGCAGTACGCTTTTTTGTTGGCCTTGTAAGCTTTCTCCCTCTTTGAAATCATCAGGTTTACATTGGGATTTATAATTTCTTAATCATGATTTTTTCTGTGGGTGATAATGCAGCACAAAAGTCCTATTGTTAACCTGGAACTCTGGAATGAGGCTCGGACTTACGGTGATGTCCAGCTAATGCCCTTTGTTGATTACTACAGTCTCATAAGTTGGAAAACACTAGCTAACTGCATCTTTGGGGTAATAATTGTCTTTGTCGTGTCTCTTCCTTGATACCGTTGAGTAGTCTTTATAGTTTTGCCACACTAACGACATATCTTGAACAGACAGAAGTGGACTCGGCCAAGTTTATCATGAAAACGGATGACGATGCCTTTGTTCGTGTTGATGAAGTACTACTTTCTTTATCGATGGTCAACAACACTCACGGGTTAATATATGGACTGATCAATTCCGACTCTCAACCAATTCGAAACCCTGAAAGCAAATGGTACATCAGTTATGAGGTACAACACAAACCTAATATGTTCATGTTAGCAAATTCGACTGACTTCTTATTCTTTCTAACGAAGTTTCGACTAAAAAAAAACAGGAATGGCCAGAAGAGAAATATCCTCCATGGGCGCATGGTCCAGGCTACATTGTGTCTAGGGACATAGCAGAATCGGTTGGTAAGCTTTTCAAAGAAGGAAACTTAAAGGTACTTACTCTATGTTAACTCAAACTCAAGTCCATTCAATCGCATTTCCGGATTCACATATAAATGGACTGTGAAAATTTGAAACTGTAAAAACAGATGTTTAAGCTAGAAGACGTGGCGATGGGGATATGGATCGCTTACCTGACGAAACAGGGGCTTGAGCCTCATTACGAGAACGATGGAAGGATCATTAGTGATGGATGCAAGGACGGTTTTGTGGTTGCTCATTACCAAAGTCCCGCCGAAATGACTTGCCTCTGGCGTAAATACCAAGAAACCAAACGCTCTCTTTGCTGCCGCGGTTGGTAAAACTCAAAACGTAAACGCATTTTTTTATCACCTTGCGTTTTGGTCGTCCATAGGTAAAGAACGAGAATGTGGTTTCTATCTGTTAATTCTGTCTTAAAACATCTGATTTGGTTTGTTAGATATGTAGTTTAGATGTATATCACTGGGTGGTCTAAAATTTCAATTGTTATTTTTTTTATTCGAAGGGGTATAGAGTCATAGGAGCATGTATATAGTTAATACAGTTTCATCAGAAACAAATGTTGTTGATAACTTGATATTGCTTCTTATTACACTTCACAAATGCTTACCTGTACATCGTTTGATTCTTCATTACACGTGTGACATTAGTAGAGATCCAAAGCCAGTGGAATCTTTTCTTCTCCTCTTTATCATCTTCCTTGCATGTGCAACTAGCAGCCTCGGATGTTGATCTCGAAATACCGAAATGACCCTTCGCCGGCATTGAGTATATACTCTCCGGTATAAGGAGAATATAGACAAATCAAATGTTTCAGTCTATATGCAGAAAGTCAGAGAAAATGTGACATAGGTGTCTTCTAATGGATAAGAATCTCGATCAGATCAATCATTGTCTTTCAACTTAAAATTATTTTAGGTCCCATTAATACTACAAAGAAAATCATACAATTATAGATATTTCCACAATGCTCATTCGCACCTCTCTTAAATCGTGAAACGCCATTTTTCTTTGGTACAGGATCTATTTCTTTTCTTTGCGATGGCGACAGAACAAGAACCTGAAGCTGGAACAGAGACTATTACTTCCTCTGTTTCAGGAAGATTTCTAAGGAACAGAGATTTATATCTCTTCTTGCCTTTCCTCTTAGGCTTCTCTGATCAAGAATCATCAGAGGGAGATGATAACAATGATGTTCCTTCGTTGCGTGAGAGGATCGTTCTGGTAAACCCTTTTACACAAGGAATGGTTGTGCTCGAAAGCTCATCGAGATTGAATCCTCTGCTTCGTGACTTACTTGAATCAAGTGAGGAAGGTCATCCTCCAGCGTCCAAGGCTTCAATCCATGCGATGCCGATCGTTGATATGGACGGCTGTGAAGGAGAGTGTGTGATCTGTTTGGAGGAATGGAAGATGGAGGAGACAGTGAAGGAGATGCCTTGTAAGCACAGGTTTCATGGAACTTGTATAGAGAAATGGTTAGGGTTTCATGGGTCGTGTCCTGTTTGTAGGTACGAGATGCCTGTTGATGGAGATGAGGTTGGGAAGAAAAGAAACGAGGGTAGAGAAACAGAGATTTGGGTTAGGTTTGGTTTTAACGATGGTCGGAGGATTAGAGATTCTTCTGGTCAGGTAGGTGGAAACAGTGACGGTGATGGTTTCACTGTTGGATCTGATGGCACAAGACCTGTTGCTGAGTCCGAGAACTAGGGTTTTAGAAGAAGCTTTTTTTTGTATAAACTTGCCTTTCTTGTTCTTGTTTTGGGGAAAGATGTGAGCTTTTTTTTCTTTTCCCATGAAAATTTGGTCATTTTGGTCTTTTTTTTTTGTTCTTCTTGTAATCTCTATTTTGTTTCTTGAAATCATGTATTAAAGTTAGGGATTCTCTTACTAGATTACTTCTTTTCTAAGAAGAATACCAAATCAGTACACAAACAATGAAGATATGAAGAGACTACAAGCCCTTTACCTTGTACACTTGGACTGCTTTCTCTTGTTGGCTTGGCCAAAGAGATAACACAGTTTCTAGGACTCTACGACGTTCTAGTTGCTCAAGCCACAATATATGGCATATGGTCGGAACGGAACAAGCCACTACACAACAATTGCTCTTCAACTCCTCATGCTATCTATCATTGACCGACTTATCCGAGACGCAATTCTAGCCAAAAGAACAAAGAAATCATTTGGTGACCTAATGCAAATTTGGCTCACCTACGACTAAAAACACATCCCATTCGTATTACTTTCCTAGGA